TTATTAATGTTCTGAAGCCGCCTTAAAAAGCCCTGATTAATGTATATCAGGCCACGCGAATAAAATGCCGAATTATGTTTATGAAGATGACTGCGAAATCGAAGTTTTCGTTCGGTCGTCTTAAAATAGCGGCAAATGGTCAAAATTCCCTTTGTACTTTTTGGTATAGTGTGCTTAATTTTCACGGGCCAAACTAACCATTTAGATATGATATACCCATAGCAAAGCTCTTTCTTTTGAACCTCTTATTTGTTGAGAGACTCGTATACTAGAAGAGTTATGACCTTCTAAAATCAGTTGAAATTTGGCATGTAAATTAAATTGCGCTAGTTGTATTTTTCAAATGGCCAAAGGGCAAACAACAAGTGTTTACTACTTCAAGATGATTTTAAGCTCAGAGAAATGATCAAGCCGTAAATTACAAACTGTGTGACTATGAAATCCAGGCAAGTTCTGTACTAGCCTGGCAATTCAGAAGTGGTTAGTTACGTCGACCTAAAAATAAAATCGGAGTTTCACAAGTTACCTTTACTGGCCAGTATTTTAATGAAATAGCATAAGTCTGCGAGCAATTACCCTAACGAGCAAAGGGAAACTTGATAAAGAAATCTACTTACTATCCTGGTCAGTTCTAACAACAATGGGAGGATCACTGGCAGGTCCATCTCCTTTGACAGTAGATGCAAACACTGTGATATTGTAGTTGACGTACTCCTTTAGATTGATCAATTCCTTTTGACGATCATCAGGACCAGCTAGAACATTCCCATTGTCATTCTCTGTTTGTGACTGGTAAGTAATGGTGTAACCCGTGATAACACCATTCTGTTGATCGGCTGGAACTTTATCCCACATGACTAAGATGCTGGTGGAGCTGCTGTTCTGTCCTCTCACATTTTGTGGAGCACCATCGGGTTCTGATACAGAAATCGAAGTTATGAAATAGCATAAGTCTGCAAGCAACTACCCTAGCGATCAAAAGGAAACTTGATAAGGAAATCTACTTACTATCCTGGTCAGTTCTAACGACAATGGGAGGATCACTGGCGGGTCCATCTCCTTTGACAGTAGATGCAAACACTGTGATATTATAGTTGACGTACTCCTTTAGATTTGTCAATTCTGTCTGACGAACAGAGTCATTGACTTGAACATTCCCATTGTCATGCTCTGTTTGTGACTCGTAAGTAATGGTGTAACCCGTGATGACACCATTCTGTTGATCAGCTGGAACTTCATCCCACATGACTAAGATGCTTGTGGAGCTGCTGTTCTGTCCTCTCACATTTTGTGGAACACCATCAGGTTCTGATATGGAAGGTGAAACCACCGAGTTATCTTTCAAGGAATTATGCGAGTGGAGTATACGATCCTATTAATGAATTTCGAATGCGCTTAGAAAATCACAACCTAGTGACTTTCTAAAGCTAGCTGTCCTTGCCAAGTGACACTTACTTTGTGGGAAATACTGAATAGTGGTCAATTACAAGTTTTAGGGCTGGAGAAATAAAATAAATAAACAAACAACAAATTATCACTAACTTGGACACTGATGAACCCTGTTTTGAGTCGGTTTGTTTTAAATTGTGTGAACCTCGGCTTCTAAAACTTTGAATTTACCGTGATTGTTGATGAAAAACTTTATTCACGTGAACAGTATCAAATTATTGTGAAGGTGAATTAACCAACATCACACGAGCGTGGAACAAAGAAAGCATTCTGAGTCCCCGACAGGAATCGACCCCATGACCTCCCGAACACCGGGCGGGGACTCTATCCACTGAGCTACGAGAACTCATGAAGCGCAAGGTCATTGAACTGAGTTGATACATGACAGGTATCCTGCATACTGCTAGGATCAACGCTATCGAAGTCATCGTGAGTAGTGATAAGTTAATGAAGATGGTGAATTTTAAGCTCGGTAATGAAATGTGAAGGTGAATTAATCATCATGACACGTTTATCTGTAATGGTGTTGGCTGAAAGACTCGTGTTAACTTTGTCATCCGTCATTGGTCGGTTCTGGGTTTCTATCCGTCAATGCCAAGACTATCAATACTTTGACGACACGACTGTGACTAGTTTGTGACACACCGGACAGATTATGTGACGAAAACACATACCTTGAACGTGTTTCTCAAATGCATCGGATGACAATAACTGGCATTTACCTTTTTCTCAGCTCGTGAGCGAGTGGAATTCAACAGATACTGCAGTCTGATTGGTTTCTGGAGCGGGGCAGGCATGTTTTGCAGGTTGCAGGTCGCAGTCCACGTGAGTCTACTTAGCACTTCGGTTAGCCTTTATACTGGGGATTTATTCAACTTCAACTCAAATGTACAAGTCGTTTTAACCTGCAACCTGCAACCTGGAAAATATACCTGCCGCCTGGAGCGGGCATTGCCTAGTTCCCTACGGCTTTTTCCGAGGCCTTTACGGTGAATCGATTTCGATGACGTATCCCGGACGATTGGCCCGGAGTACCTTGGACAATAACAGACTGCGTATGCGTTTGGGTCAGTCCCAGAATGCTTTTGTTGATTTTGGCTAAGCTTTAGAGATTTTAATTCCTGTTCTCTCGTAAATTTTTGTCTACAGCAGGAAACTGAAGGGGCTCATTTACTCGATCGACTTTGCTATCCTGACAACTTCAATCACTCTCACCAAATAACTCTGTCGGAGAAGATGCTGATTATTGTAACTCGTAGGATTGGAAAACTCTATCTTTAGCAAGTTTGCTGAAGTTTGTCAGAAGAGCAACTTCCTTGGAACTTACGGTTAGAACTATTATTATGCTTGTCACTCAAAATCTTTAATTTGACATGCACCTCAACTGGAAGCCTACGCGACAAATTTTATCAAGTTTCGAAAGCTAACAGGTTGTGACCTACAATTTCTGTCCAACTACGGAATGTTTTAATAGTTCCGACTTTTTTGAATATTTCGCTCCTGTACGAATTTGACTTTAGACATCTGTGGAATTTATGTGTTTCACAGAGTTCAGATCTAATAGCGCTTGTCCTGATGAAATATTAATTGTGTCGCTGCTTTGTGATCTGAGTGCAAAGTCAAAGGCCGGCGCGGAACGATCTGACTTGTTGTTGTTGTTGTTGTTTTTATCTCCATATATGAAAGAGAATTCTAGAAAAGGTTGCTGTAGTTCTCATTTAGTAAATAAGCCTGTGGTTAAGTGGTTCTTGCAAAAATGTACGTATAGAAATTACCGTACATGTAAAGTTAAGTTTAATTTCGCAAGCTACTTAACTTTCACAAAACTTGTTGGGCACAAGACACCAGAGCGAGCGAATTCTTGTTTATTGCATTGCGGTCAAACTATAGTTAAATAACTAAATTAGAAAGTTACTCTTGAACCCGAAATTTAGAAAATTTTGTTATCGAGTGCGTAATCAGTATTAGCCTGCGGTTTGAAAGCGTCGATGGTTCTGATTCGATAAGGTCCGTTTCGATCCAAATGAGCCGTTTAACTTGACCAATTAACGTTAAAACAAAAGCGAAGAGTTTAAATTGCTTTTCCCTACCGGTCACTCCCAGAAATGCCAAGAGAATCCTCCCGCGAGATGAAATCGGCTCGGTGAAAAATTGAGACAAATTGTCTCCATTTTCAGGTTTTTGTCTAGGCCGCACTTTTCCCCCCGGACAACGTGACCCGAAACGATTGACCGCGGCGAAATATTGAGGCCTAGGAACTAGGCAAGAGAGGGCGAAATTTTCTCATCCGGACCCCCAAGCGGGCGGAATCTGTAGTGTTGATCTATTTTCGTGAGCGATGTAGCGGTAATCGTTAATCTTTCGCCCTTTTTGCACTTCCATAGACAATTAATCAACGCAAGTTTAACTCTATTCACCTTTAAGTGATAGGGAGAGTCACTGTAAGGAAATTCATTTGAGTGTTTTGAAGTTGTGAGAGCTTGTTTGCCTGTTTGGAGCTCGGCGTTGTAATGGCGCGTAATCCTGTGAGTCTCTCTCTGTACAATTTTAAGGAAAAAAAATGAGTTAATTTCAGTCGAGTTTACCTCTCTGACGGTTGAATTGCTGTCTCTCAGACAATTTCTGTGGAATACACTTAACGAATTTTCTCGCTATCTGCTACTCAATTTACGGTAGAAAAGTCATATTTTTTAGTGATTCGCAACGACCGACAGAAATTTTTGTAGTACAACTTCAAACTTTGCACGAAATTTCACACCGGAAAAATAATTTCGGAGAACTTAACTGGTGAACTAAACGCAACTGGCATAAAGTAGTTCGAAATAAATCTATTTTTTAATACATTTTAAAGTTGTTTGTCTAGTATCTGAGTTACTCGCTCGTTCGCTCGTTAGATTTTTTGCGAAGCAATCAAATCAATCAATCAATCAATCAATCAATCAATCAATCAATCAATCAATCAATCAATCAACTTTATTATAGTGTCTAAAAACTTCTAATCAGCCCTGAGGTTGATTTATCCGGGACACTCCCAGACGGCGCGTAAGCCGATTCAATGACAAAGTTGCGTAAACAAACCAACTTGTGAGGCAATTTACCGCAGGAAAAAAAAAATAAACGTGTTATTGGCCAGCTTAAGGTCGGTTCGTATAGTGAAAAACTGTGGCCTCGGGCTTTGTGGAAGCGGTGTGGCCTAATGGTTAGGATGCTGGATTTGTAATCCAGAGGTCCCAGGTTCAAATCCTCCTTCCTTCCACAGCTGGATTTGTGTCTGGAGGTCCCAGAATCAACTCCTCCACGCTTTGTAAATAGCCAACTGGCCAACCTCCAGCCAGTTGGGATTTTTAACGAGTTTCTGTTTAATTTACAATATTTGTTTGCTTATTTCAGTGTCCACAATTAGTACAGCAGTGCTAAACCACTTGGACACTTAAATAGAGTGATTTATTTATTTATTTTATTTATTATTTATTGAAAATGCTGCCCTCTGTCTATTGTTTAAAAAGAATACTATATTGTTTTCGAATCGGCTTAGAATTATTGTCAGCATGCTTGGTTATGTTCTGAAGCCGCCCTAAAGAGCCTTGACGGAAGCAAGTCAGGCCACGCGAAACCAAAAATGCTAATATCTACATAAAGTACCCTATATGTTTGACACGTATTGTCACTGATTATAATAATTTTAAATAATTATCTCAACACCAGCGTTTCATGGATTCAATCATTTATATATTCTAAGTTACTGCTGGGCCTTTAAAAACAAGCAGGGGGTTTTGCTGTTTCGCACTTCCAATGAGAATCCACTGACTTATGCAAAGAAAGTTATTGACTCTCTCATTAACGAGGAAGCGCTCTGAGTCACAAACGAAGAGAAACTCGACGAGAAGAAAGCACCCTGACTGGACACTTCTTTAATCGCTGACGGCCCTTCTTTCTTTGCCACGTTATGTGTTGAGAGACATTCGACTGAGAATGGAAAGAAAGTTAACGACTATTTCATTGACGAGGAAGCGTTCTGACTCACGTACGTCGAGGCACTGGACGAGATCAAATGAAGCTGACTGGTCAACTCTGCAACTGCTGCCGCACTTGTTGCCAGAGACAGAGCTGGGGTAAGTGACACACTGACTGATATGTTATCGGAGTGGCCAGACGCTTTTGTGTCGGTTGGAGACGGCGACATAGATGAGAACAAATACATTGTTGTGTGATGTGATGGTTATTAATGTTTTGAAGCGGCCTTAAAAGGCCCTGATTAATGTATATCAGGCCACACGAATAAAATGTCGAATTATGTTCATAAAGATGACTGCGAAATCGAAGTTTTTGCTCGGTCGTCTAAAAGTAGCGCAATTGCTTAAAATTCCCTTTATAGGTTTTCGTCTAGCGCGCTTAATTTTCACGGGCCAAACTAACCATTTAGATATGGTATACCCATAGCAAAGCTATTTCTTTAGAACCTTTTATTTGCTGAGAGACTCTTATACTAGAAGAGTTATATGACCATCTAAAATCAGTTGAAATTTGGCATATAAATTAAATTTCGATAGCGTCATTTTTCAAATGGCCAAAAAGCAAACATAACGTATTTACTTCAACATGATTTTAAGCTCAGAGAAATAATCAAACCGCAAATTACAAATTGCATGAATATGAAATCCAGGCAAGTTCTCTTCTCTCTCTACTAGCCTGTTAAACATACGCAATTTTTGCATAAATTCTATCGGCCATCTTGGTTGGTTAAGCGGTATTTCGAACTTTCGTATATTTCACAAAAATGTGGACTCGCTGGAACTTGTAAAAAATATTTCTGAGATTGTTTACCTAAAGGAACTAAAATGTGGACTAAAAAAGAATTCGAATTTTCCGACCTGTCGTCGGATTCTCCATATTTAGAGGCAGTGGCTCTTAACACCTGCCACGTTTATTTATATTTATAAAATTTCCATTATAGGAATAGTTATATAAACCGATCATTTTGTAAATTTTATCTTATGTTTATAATGGCTAGTGATGATATTTGAAACATCGAGAAATGTTCCGAAAATTTCAAAGCACTAGGGTTGTTGTGTTTTTAAATAATATCTTATTGTAAGTAGTTTGGTAATAATTTTCTTTAAGTCGTTTAAATACTAATAGGATAAGTATTGCCTCCTAAGTAAGGTAAAGTCTGCATGCGAGCCAAGTGGCCCATCAGGCCGGAGCTTATGCCGGTTTCTGTAGCATGAAGCGACTAGGAGTGTTTCTACTCCCCCCTGGATGGGATGCTAGTCCATCGCAGGGTTACCCCCAGCATTAAGTTCGCCGGTACCCATTTATACACCTGGGTGSAGAGAGGCACTGTGAGAGTAAAGTGTCTTGCCCAAGAACACAACACAATGTCCCCGGCCAGGGCTCGAATCCGGACCGCTCGATCCGGAGACGAGCGCATTAACCGTGAGGCCACCGCGTAAGTAGTATAGTTTAAATTGTGTGTTGTAACTTGTTGCACACCAAATAAATAAATTAAAAAAGATAAAAGCTTAATTGTCTAATATTAAGTCTCTGGCTTTTTTCCTAGGCCGCGGTGAAGTCGAAGATGCGCTTGTTGAAGAGTGAAATGTAAGTTGAGAAGACCGGCACATTACGCGTAGCAGAGCGGATTCAAAGAATTCTTTGATAAGGCTATGAACGCAATTTGGCATGGATAAAGAGACAGGCTCATAAATTTGTTTTTCAGAATGACAGAAAACTGTGGTAAACCGATCAAGCGTGAACCTCTGATGAGAGAAGAAGCTAGTTACCTGAACATTTTTTCGCCAAAAAGATTTCGAAAGTCACGAACATTTCAACAGTTCAGCTTCTAATCAGCCAGGATATTCAACATCTTCTCCTGAATCTGACATATAGGCGCTAATTCACTAGTTTCACGCCATGTCTCACTCACCGACAAACTAACTGACACACGGACACTTACTCTCGCATCAATGAAAAACAAATCCCGCCTAATTTTAGAAATAAGGTTATTATAAAGGTCATAGATAATGTAAACAGTTTTATAAAACAGGGTAAAAGGAGTTTCTAAATTCATGAATAGTGAATTCACAAATTTGAAATTCTTTTATCGTTTATTAGGACATATTTGTCTGTTCTTATATGGCTGTAGCTGGACCAAATCCTGCGCTGTGATTGGCTACCCAAAAGACTGAGTCTTTTTTCGTTACAAGGTGCCTTTATATCTCTGCATCAATCCGTCTGTCCCAGTTACGAAAGGTCGCAGGTTCCATTGACTAGTATATAACCATGAAAGCAAAGACCAAACAGCATGCAACGGTGGGAGTTAAAATGCCATTAAAAGAAGGGATTAACAGGGAGTAGGTTCACTTACTGACTCCATGTAAAAGTTGTGCTGGGTATTTCTTGTGCGAAAACTACATCACATCATTCTTCACAAAAAGTATGATACATTTCTTAACTAACGATATGTAACCTATTCCGCTTTCACAGAATCATTGCATTCCGAGTTACTCAACATTCTCTTACTTGCAACATGACCTTGGGCTACCTGTTGTCGAAATGACTCGGTGGCGGAATCATAACAGGTGATCATGTGACAACGATTTACCTTTCGCATCTATGGCATTCCCAAATCTTGAATCAATAACTTCTCCAAGGTATGTGATTTTTATCTCTAGCCATAGTGGTTGACTTGTTCACTGTGATTAATTAGATTGTGATGTATTATTTTTTAGATTGCGGTAAGTTCAACTGAAATGCCCTCTCCACAATGAGACTCCAGTTAATAGGTTCTTTTGTCTATCCGCGAGTGAATAGCGTATTGTTTCTTCTGTCAACCGAAGGGACGTATCAAAGTCGCGGTATGTTAACCTTTTCCTTGGTCACCTACTGCAAGCTACGTTTTCTTCAGTGATTATAGTTGAGCTCCGGCGGACCGCCAAGCGGAGCCCCATACTCATATAGGAAAGAAACGGAAACTCAGGAATTGATTTTCTCATGGTATCATGGCTAGCGGTATTGCTCGTGGGTGCGTACGCACGACGACGGCGCCGACGTAGTCGCCTGTGTGTCTCACTCTGTACAATTTTAAGAAAAAAAATGAGCCAATTTCAGTCTAGTTTACCTCACTGAGCGTGTATTGGAGACAATTTCTGTGAACTACACTTAACGAATTTCCTCGCTATCTGCTGCTCAATTTACGGTAGAAAAGTCTGATTCTGAGTGATTCGCAGCGACTGACAGAACTTGTTTTTGTAGTACAACTTCAAACTTTGCACGCAATTTCACACCGGAAATATAATTTTGGAGAATTTAACTGGTGAACCAAATGCAATTGACATAAAGTAGTTCCAAATAAACCTGTTCTTTAATACATTTTAAAGTTGTTTGTCTAGTATCTGAGTTACTCGCTCGTTCGCCCGTTAGATTTTTTGCGAAGCAATCAATCAATCAATCAATCAATCAATCAATCAATCAATCAATCAATCAATCAGTCAGTCAGTCAGTCAGTCAATCAATCAATCAATCAATCAGTCAACTTTATTGGAACGTCTAAAAACTTCTAGTCAGCCCTGAGGCCGACTAATCAGGGACACTCCCAGACGGCGAGTAAGCCGATTCAATGACAAAGCTGCGGAAACAAACCCATTTGTGAGGCAATTTACCGCAGGAAAAAAAGATAAACATGTTATTGGCCAGCTTAAGGTCGGTTCGTGTAGTGAAAAACTATGACCCAGGGCTTGAAAATGCTACCCTCTCCCTGCTGCTTCGAGCAGCATTTTCGAGACCTAGGTCACAGTTTTTCACCATACGGACCTCCCAGCCGGCCAATAGCATATATTTAGTTGATAAAACATTGAAACTGGAGAATTTATAGTATACAATATATATTTAAAGTTCGTCAGCTTGTATAATAGCGGAGATCTGGCGGCCAGCCAAACGGAGCCGCATACTCATATAGGAAAGAATAGGAAACCCATTAATTGATTTTCTCATGGTATCATGGCTAGCGGTGCTGCTCGTGCGCGGGTACGTACGTCGACGGCTCTAACAAAAGCAGCCTCGTTTTATAGCGTACATCTTTGATATTGGATATCCATGTTGTGTTTAATTCACACCTGTCAAAACAAGGTATCCGCTGACCAGTATCACATGACCATATCGCGGGCTCAAGTTTCAGCTCTTCGAAATTACGTGTTTTATTGAAGCTGACCGCCGCCGTCCAAGCGCTGGTTTGCGATTGGATCGCGGGCTCAAGCTAGGTTTATTTGCTGTACTCAGGGCCGGGTTGTTCGGAAACCGCAAAATGCTCACTCAGGATTGAAATTTAACTGAAGTATGAAATATGTTTTGTGTAGTTTGAGATTATTCAAACTCGAAACGGAAGACAAAAACTATAAACCGAAAACCTCACCACAAAACTTCCCATGTGTTCTTTCACCCTCTAAAGTAAAATTCTTAAGATATAATTAATTGCAACTGTTAAAATTTTAAACTTCTAGATTATTTATATTCATGCACAGCACCTTCTTCATCTGTGGTAGCATTCACTACAGAGCTCCCATCACTAATGCCAACCATGTTTCTTGCAAACACTTTAAAGTAGTATGTTGTCCAAGGTAAGAGGTTTCCAAAAGAAGCACTTGTATTGAACACCACACAGGAACTATCTGACAGGGATCCTTGACAGACAGCATCTACAAACACTTCATTATCTTGACTTCTCTTCACTGCGTAGTTTTGAATTGCACTGTTTCCATCAAAACCAGCAATCCAGGAAATAACCACTACTCGAGAGCTCTTTGAGTGAACTGACACATTCAACGGCGGGTGTGGTTTCACTGTAGAGTTGATTTATAGACACTCTTTTCAAAAACAATTCATGTACGATTAAAATTGTTTTAATATTAATGGTATCTATAACAAAATTCTTTATTGTGATTGGTTCTCCTCGCACTTGTTTGCCACGTAACCTGCGCCGATCACGAGGGTGTCCAATTACAGGTATCCCATTACAACTTTTTTTAATAGGCCATTTCCGAGTTATCTTGTGCCTCTGTTTCAAAACGAGTCTTCGTGGAGAAACCCTCCTCATGAAAATAAGTTTAAGGACGGTGCCTACTAAATACAAAGGTTTTTTGCGCCAGGTAGGACCACGCGGAAAAAGTAGATCTTTGCAAGGCTATTGGAATCCACAAGGAAAAATTGGGGTAGCCACGCATTTTTCGAGATAATTAGCCTTGAATGTCAACAAAATTGCTGACATCAGCATTTTTCTGAAAAAAGATGGAAAGGACGTTTCTTCACAGATTTCCTTAGAATTTGAATTTTCATATAGAAAAGCAAATATATTTATAAAGATCTTAAAATACATGGTAAATGGTAACATAAAAACCGTTTTTGGTATGTTTTTACTAATAAAATCGTTGCAAAAGCGCTTTCAGCGGTTCTGACATGTTTCCTCTGGTTCAGCTTAAATACAGTCTAAATATCTTTTGCTCACAACCAGAAACTAATCACTTGTTGAATAGGCTTGTCATTACCATTTTGTTATTGATCTTTTTTTTTAAGTTTTACCGTGCCCGCTACACTTTTTCATGTCACCTTCCCAGTAAGTAAAACATCTGCGTATCTCGCACTTGTTTTGCGGGAGCAGTACGCTATCTGCAGGTACATGTTTACAGTTGGATTTCAGTATAATTTTCGGCAAGTAACAGCCAGTTTCTCAGCTGGAAGACGTTAACAGTTAATGGTTAGCGATATGCTGCTATTTTGGTGTTCCTGGTTTAAGTACAGGTTCATTAAACTTGATTTGGTCACGGTAGGAAAATTTTGATTTCATTTTAGTCGTGTACTTGCTTGCGTAGTTGATTGCGTCAATGTCAACCCAGCCCGCGCGCGGCGCTTGAACCATGCCTTACGTGATGCGCAGAACGTGTTCCCACTAACAAAGGTAGGAACCGTTCTTAATTTGCATGAAAATGCATCTGTAGGCGGAACTCATTTTCATATGAATGATTTGACACGAAGACTCGTTTTGACACAGAGGCTGAAGGCAACTCGGAAACGGCCCATTGGCTACCTGTAATGGGATAACCACGTGATTTGCACGTCAATTACGCGCGCTTTAATGGTTACTTTAATACACATTGAAACACACGATCTACAGTAATCAGTTTCGTAAATGACTTACTTCTATGTGGACTCTTAGCTGATAGTTTTTGAAATTTTAATCCGTAGTCACACACACCTTGAATAATAATTGATGTTGCATCTGATGAGTTACCAACATCATTGACAACAAGACAGGTGTAATTCCCAGCGTCTTGTGGTGTAGTTGCATTTATTTCCAATTGTACTTGGCTTTGATTGTAATGTGGAATAGTTACTCTTGAGTCATTAATCTCCACACTATCATTTCTTGCTATTACTGTTCCATTTTTGTTCCACTGCACCTCAGACACTGGTGGCAAAGCATTGTACTGGCATGTCAGAAGTAATAATCTTCCTTCTATCACAAACTGTTCTTGAACACCAATAATCGTCACTTCTGGCGCAACTGCAACTGTGAAATTGTTTCAGTTAGTTGCGAAATTGTCTCAGTTAATATAAAATAAAATAAAGTGGAATGAAGTAAAACATAAAATGAATTAAAACGGGCAGTCATCCACTTTTCTCAGATCAAACTGGATTTGGGAAGTATTGGTATTATGTCTATCAACCGAATTTAAAATAGCATTTTTTGTTTCAGTAGTACGTTGTTTCAGTTTGGGAGGTTCAGCTAAACCATATAAGCCACCCTTAGAGGTTCAACTAAACCATAGAAACCACCCTTAGATGTAGCCCGAGGTTTCAAGGCCTGCCTTGGCAGGGGCAACTGGGTTACTGGGGCAGATATTAAATACACTCGCTGAAATTGTTAAAACCTTAGCAATTATTAGGGTAGAAAGAACTACTCTAAGGACGGTGCCTACTTTTGTTAGTCGTTTATCATTCTATGTGAAACTTGACCAATTAAACGCCAACAAATAGCCAAAATGAACGACCGAGTACCTAAGGAAAGAGTGGGCACTCGTAGGTTAAATTACGTTTTTCTCAAAATCTACCTGTATGACCTTACCTCAAACTTCCAGGAATAAGAAATTGGCTCTGATTTAATATTTATGCAAAGTAAAATAAAAATCTGTAAGACAGATTTTTCGCAGACTAAGGAAATGAGAAATTAAAAATAGCTTAAAATCTGCCTCACAGATTTTTTTTCTAAATTTTGGCTCCAAACGTGATTCACACCTGCAAATCAACTGTGAAAATTTTATCATAAGTTGTACGGTAGGTTTTCGAGCAATCCTCGATCTAAGACTGGCTTTCACAACCTTGGACGGGAATTGAATTGTGCATGCCCTTTATTTAAGCGCGCGCTCATGTGACGCCATGTATCGCGTGCGAGAAAGCAAGAGTAAATTAGAGCTCTTTTACCGGTTGTTTATCGAAATTTTTGTCATATTTCATCGGTACTAGGGTTAAACACATGTTTGAGCGGCCGCAAGTAACCCTGAGAAGAAACGAAAACCACTTCAGCACTTGAAAGGCTTTGACCACTTTGGTATACGTAGCGATAGTTTAAGACTCTGTTCAAACATGTGTTTAAGCCTAGGGCCAAAAAAGTATGACAAACAAAGGTCGATAAGCAACCGGTAAAAGAGCTCCTAATTTAATCTTGCTTTCTCGCACGCAATGCATGACGTCACGTGTTTTTTTTCAAAATGAGCGATGATAGTGACCGTAGTGAATTTTATTACCAGGGCTCTACGAAACCTAAGAACTTTATAATCCCACTGCGTTAACAACGATCAACTTTTCTGGCACTACACCCGTTATTTGCCAGATTAGCCCTTTGGAAACGCACGCCGAAAAATCTCGGCGTAATCGATAGCGGTTATGCGCTTTGGAAATTAAAGCAATTCAACTCCAAGTAAGACTTCAACTATTTTGTTTCATACAACGTGTATATCTTATACAGTGAGATATTACATGTGCGGAACACCGCAAACCTCATAGAATTACTTTATGGAAAATACATAACTCAATCTCAGCGTTTACCTATACTTCCGGCGGCAAGAACAACTTTAAAATTGTCATAAACTATAACGAACAACAGAGCCTCCACCTAGTTTGAAATATATAACTCAACGTCATGTTTCGTTACTTCACACGTTCAGCGGTCTATGTCAGAAATGCCACTATCTACTACGCAAGAAATAGAACTATATCGAACTACTTTCAACTCAACAGCCTTTTCAGCTTCCGACTTTCACTTGTTCGGTCTTCCGGAACCACCCTGTTCAATTCTACAATTCTCTAAAGCGAAAAATCGAGCCTTAGACTTGAAGTGAATTTCATAACATCATGAATCGGTGTTTCGCTTCCCGATGCATCTCTTCCAGGGCTAGTTGCAATGGCTGGATGTTCCTCCTTGCGAATCCCTCGATTATTAAGGGCAACTGTCAGTTTTTTTTCGCCGACCGGAATTTTGTTGTCTGGTGCTTTCTTCCGAGTCATGAAATCACGATCTAAAATAAGGCGATCTGTCTCTTCTTCAGTAGTGGTTTCATGATTCCAAAAAGACCTGTTACTAGCTTTTTCCCTTGCTGCTTTGAAATTCAGAAATTCGCTCTGCGATTTCCGGGTGTTTACCCTGGAGACTGCACTGGGTGATCCCAGGACAAGTCGGGTTTTACAATATTTCTTTTAATGCCTAGTGAGAGGGCAATTCGAGTGGGTCTTTGCTTGTTTGGGGGCCCCTCGCTCATAGTCACCGGCTTGTCGTTGCAACCGAGTTTACCCTTGTTGGGCGCTTGCAATTCGCGCTTCAGAAAAATGGGTATCATTAGAAACGCGTTTCTCTTTCCCTTGCATGGAAACTCGTTGACGACTTCGCACTATCCACAGTATGCGCGGCAGATTGAGTTTTAGTACCACTCCAAGGCTCTTGTGTGATGTCTTTGTCCGGCAACTGTTCATTTTCCTTAAGCAGAATTTTTTTTTCGCTTAAGGCAGTTTAAGTGGGGATGGAAACAGAACTATAGATGTATTTTAGCGATTCTTTTGTTGTAAATTCTCTGTCCCCAAAATCTTTCGCAAGATATTTGAGATCCAGCTGCAAGGGATTAAAGATGGCCACGTAGAAATTTCGCTCTGCATGAAAAGGTCATGTTTACGGCAAATGGTCAAAATGAAGAACAACTTTCGAATGCTGCTTCTTTAACACCGGCAGCGCGCAGTTTTCAGCTTGACAAATGTCAAATTCACCTTCAGTCAATCAACATTCGTTTTCTCTCAGACAGATAGGAACCAGTTCATTACCAGTGACGGAAGTTGAATGAATTCAGCAGGCTTCTATTTCTAGACTGAGAGAAAATTGAAAACGTGTCTCAGGCATGAGAGCAATTTCTGTTAAAAATGCTGTTGTGTAGGGTCACCATGTTTATTTTTCAGGAAGTCCGCATTGGAGATATTTTCGACTTTTTTCCTGAGATGTATAACTTACATTACCCTTACGCAATAATGGTGATAAACGCGGGTAAAGTAGTTGGACATCTTCCGACGAGCTTTGCAGAACACATTTACAGGCTAGTTTTGGAACTGAAGAGTAAAATTACTGTCCTTTGGTAAGTTTACATTTTCTATTGTATTGGTTTGTCGAAAGTTATTTTCTTATCAAAAACACGATCTCATTGATGAGGATTACGCGGCATGAGACTGAACGTCACACACAAAATTTTGGCCCATGGATCTCTAGCTATAGAATGTTCAGAGGAGGGTTTTCAAATAAGTACTTGATTCTTTTAGTTTCGTGAGGTTTTGACACTGAGATTTCGCTAAAAATTGGAGTTCATGAAATTTCGAGGAAAATGTGTCGTTTCCATTGCTTAGGTTGAGTTAAGATTAACACAAACATATATACCAGTGATTTGAATCCATTCCTCTTCCAGTGAGATTACTGGGATGCCTGAACCGATTCCAAGACCTTGGCCCTTTATGTGGCACAGAGTTAGAGGGATAGCAATAACCTGTCGATATATTATTTACTGTGAAAGAAGGAGAATATCCTCAGTTTGGTTTAAACTGCAGTTATCACTGAAGCATGTTCCTGGAGGCTCGCTGTCTCACTCGTGACCATTTTAGTTTTTTGTTCTCTTTTTCAATACAAGCAACAATGGGGCATAGCTTACCGTTTACGGTAGTATATTAAAGGACTATAAAAGCCATAGGTTTCATCATCTGCCAGTATATTTCATAAATAGAATTAACGTTAAAACCGGACTAGCGACTAAGTTTTACACTTCCGTTGATTATATTTACAACAACAACCAATGTACCCTAAAACAGAAACAAAAAGAAAAGGATCAAACTCCACCAAACACAAGACAAGGCAATGACCTTTCACATGTAAACCCGTTGAAGTTTAGACTTCTTTGTTTCACGAGAGGTTCACTGCTCGTACTCTGCATGCAGGCTAGTTAACAGTGGCTCCACAAAATGTCCATGGTAAAAACTACAGTTTTCCATGATTACAGTGTGTATCCCCGTTCTAGATTGCAGACCAATCGTTTTTTGCAGTTCAACTGCCTCCTCAAAAAACAAGAGCATAATGTTTATATAATCCACTCCTTGAACCCAATGCAGCAGATGTAAATAATGTGTATGTTGCGTTGAAGGCATATTTTTGAAATTCAAATGCCGCTTGGCTGACGTAACTGCTTCCAAAATGTCGATTTGCCGTTATTTTTAGAACGCTGCATTTGTCAAAAATGTGCAGTGTTGCTGGATTGAGATCGCTTACCAGATCAAAGTATGTATCATTCAGGGCAACATTATTTGCTGTTGTTATTCCTAAGGTGTTACACTTAACGTTTTGTGAGACATGAAAGATCTGACCTGGCGCATTTAGTTATAAAGAGTTCACTCGGTACATCTAAGGGATGAACGGCGGACAAAGTGCAAGCTATCCTGGTTAACTGTGCGATCTGCCGCTGAGAAATGCGTTCGTAACATAAATCCAGAACTCTCTCAAGAAACATCAGAGCCAACTTGGTACCGTGGACGTAGACTGCCACCTTTTCAATTTTCCACCATCTTTATCACTGGAAACATCCCCATCAGTTCCTTTTTCGCCGTTCACGACGTTCAGTTACCATGCATAATATAGTAAATTTGTTTTCGGTAACGGCAGTTTTGTATTTCTAACCATTCGGTCCTCCCGAGTTCGCAATTGGCTAAAAAAAATTAAGTTTGAATTCATTTTTCGTGACCTGAACAGTGATTGGACAGTTTTGTTTCTAAAAGTGACCCCGGTTAATGTAACTCCCCTGTAAAATGCTAATAGCTGAGTGAGGTTGGACCAACCGGGAAAATATTTGGCTATCGGTTCAAGCCAAATATTTCCTGCCTGGCCATTCCAGTCAGTCAATAAGTAAATATTACTGCTTCTCATTGTTTTTTTACAGTATTAACACTGTGCAACTAGAGAGTCAAGTAACTTCCATCCGTGGATACGAAATAAAGAACCAGACAGCAACGTTCTAAAACTCCCCATGGCAAGATTTAAAACTGACAGAGAAGAGCCTACCACTATAAAAAGCGGTCCCTTATGTCATATATAGACTCTATAGCAAGATGCTATACTTACAATTGACATCTAGTGCAGCAGCATCGGATGTAGCGTTTCCAAGGCTGTTGTTTGCCACACATCGATAGTTACCATTATCTGTTCTTTTCACTTTCGTTATTGTCAACTGCTTCTTGTCTGCTGAAAAACTGATCCTGGAATTGATGGTTGTATTTACTTGAAATCCATCTGTGGTCCATGATATTGACGGTGCTGGATTTCCATCAACGTTACAAGATAAAGTCACGTTATCTCCTTCTGTTACAGCTGTATTTTGAGGATCAACAGTGATGTCAGGTGGATCTGTAAAAAAGCAG